AATATTGTAAGATGATCAACTGTGAGTGACTTAGCTATTTTCAACAATAGAATGATCCAAGACAATTCTGAAGGCCTTATGATGAAAAATGACATCCATCCCCAGAAAAAGAACTGATGGAGTCTGAACACTGATCAAAGCATACTTTTTTACTTTATTTTTCTTGGGGTTGTTTGGTGTATGTCTTCTTCTACAACATGACTAATATGGAAATATGTTTTACATGACTACACATGTATCATCTACATCAAATTGCTTGCCTTCTCAATGAAGAGGGTAAGGAAAGAGGGAGAGAATTTGGAATTCAAAATTTTAAAAAAATGAATGCTGAAAATTGTTTTTACATATAATTGGGGGGAGGAATAAAACACTAAATAAATAAATAAAGCATGACAGAGGTGCTATGTGTTACTGCCACAGGCCTGAGCAAGGGAGAAAAAAATAAAGATCAGTGTCAACTTATGCAGGCTTAGCTGTATGTAGAAGGGAGCCAGATTGAAAAGGAGACATCTAGAAACTAGTTATAAGAGAGTGTTAGAATTTGTGCCCTACTGCACTGGAAGTGAGTAGACAAGAACACAGGGTAATTAAAGGCTGAATGAAGCAAGACAGCTGTTGCCGCTAGGGGTTGCTGTCATCCCTGCCTGACAGATAGGAAGGGTTTACTGCTTTACACTTTGACTTTTAACATTACATAGGGAAGCAAGGAAAGAGAAAGGTATCTAATGTTGGGTCTTTTTTCCAATTCAAATCCTATTTACTGATGCACATTTTCACTTTTTTTTTCCTGAATGACATTTTAAAAACTTTAATGTTTCATTCGTATGGACTGGAAAAATATTTTCAGTGTTGAATCTCACTATTTGCTTTTAAAGGGAGTGGATTATACACACATACAAACTAAATAAAGCTAAAGTGAAGATACATTTCAATATTTTATTCCCTAGACACACACACACACACACACACACACACATACATCTTCAACCTTATTGACTTTTGTGACAGCCTCAGTTCCTGGTGAAGGCTTTTAATTCTTGCCAGTGCCCTCCCTTTCTGGTACTGTACTTACACCTATCCCAATTAGATTCTCTGACTTGGAGGACTTCCAGCCCTTGCCCAGAAAGCTCCAATAAAATGGGAAACTGCTCAATTGATTGAGATTTCACTTTAGAAGGAAAAAAAAATTGAGGCAAATGCCAGATTCTCAAAAATGTGTCTAACTCAAATAATCACCAGCTTTCTTTCCATTTCAATGAATTCATTAGGCACTTGCCCAGTGTCCCTCAGGAGTTTCTTTTGGAAGAGTGTGCTTTTTAGGGCTTTATCAGGAGCCCAGAAATAGGGGTGACGATTGGAACTGGGATCAGTTTGATAAAGAGGGTTCAGCAAATGAATTGAAAGTGAAAAGAGCAGGGCAGAGTAGAACTGGGAAGGAAAGTTGTAAGAAGGGCTAAGAAGACCCTAGGAAGGGAGAAAAATATAATTAGGGTGCTTTTGATTCTCTTTAGAAATTGTCATTTGAAAGAGTCTTTAGAGACCATCTAGCCCAGCCCTCTTATTTTACAAGCAGGGAAACTGAGGCATAGGGAGGAAGAATGACTAGCCCAGTCATATTGTTAGTAAATAGCAGGGCTGGACTTCCGACCCAGGTCTTCTGCCATCTAGTACAGTGCCTGGAACTTAATAGGCATTTAATAAATGTTGTTGAATGGTCTTTCCACTATTCCAGTGATATTCATATTCTTCCATGAGCAAGACTCTGCTGAAAAATGTCTCACATTTTCCCCCTTCCACAAAATGGGTAAATTCAGTCAGGAATGTTTAAAAAAAAAAGTGAAAGGTGGATTGACTGTGAAATAATAATTCACCTTTACACAATGATTTGATGTTTACAAAGTGCTTTACTCACGACAGTCTTTTGTAAAGGGCAGTACAATCATTTCTGTTTTACAGACACAAAAACTGAGGCAGGGAGAGAAATAATTTGCTCAGGGCCACACAACTAGGAAGAGAATAAGCTGGGACTGAAACTTCTACTAAAAGGACTAGCTGCCGGTCACCTTGTAGATTTTCAGCAATGGTAGGGAATACATACTTGAATGAATATTCTTACCCTCCATTGTTATCTTTTTTCACTTCGTCTCATATCTTCACTCAGGACATGTCCCCACCCCCACCCCCTTGCCTGCGCGATTCAGTCTCAGCCCTAATATAGTTGTTTAACCTACTCATACCCTCCTCAGTCTCTGTCAGTCTTGTCAGGTAAAGTCCCAACCTAAAACGCCAAAATGAATCCCGAAAGCTGACAAACTAAGGATTTGGTCACTAACTAAAGCTGCTTTCGGTCTTCTATAGAGCAAGTCCCCTAAGTCCCACCTCACCCCTCCAAATAGAGAGATTTTAATCGACTTATTAAACGTGGAAGCAATCGATGAGCTCTTTATTTAATAGCCCTAAGATCTACATTTAGACATAAACAGATCCAGGTTCCTGGTAAACACTCTTCTCATCCTGTTACAAAGTGACAGGAAAGCAGTCTTGGGAAGGGGGGGAGGTGTGGAGAGAGAGAGAGAGAGAGAGAGAGAGAGAGAGAGAGAGAGAGAGAGAGAGAGAAAAATGTAAGGGGGGAGTTGGAGATCTGACGGAAGATACACACACAAAGGGGGATGAATATTTCAGAGGATTCTTAACGCGTTTCTAATTAAAGACTTAGGCTTTTTAACCCACTTGGGACTTGAGCCTTACGTCTTCGGGAGGAAGAATGAGAAGTGGCTGAGACCCTGCCAAAAGGATCTAAGGGGAAAAACTTCAGGCAACAACACTCCCAAGGTTGCCAAGTGGACTTTTATTGTTTTCCACCCACTTCCAAGTCGATAATATCAGCCTGAACGCAGCCACCTCATGCACATCCTATAGCCTATATAAGCAGAGGCGGCACCGAAGCTGGAATGGAGTAGTTTGAGAATCCGGCGCATGCACAGGGGGGGCCACCGGGAAAGTTTGGCTGCCGGTACTTGGGTCTGCTTCTGTCCTGTCTCGCTAGAACAGAATACAGTGGTCCGGCTTCCTCCAGCGGCTCTCGGGGAAGAAGAGGCAGGTAACACACCAGGTCTCAGCTAGAACTCCCCTCTGCTTTGGCAGAGTTCAGATTCCCAAGATACCAACCGCTTTGCAGGGGCGCCGGCAATCATTGGCAAAGTCTTTTTCAGGCTCCCCCTTCCTCCTCCCTTTCACACCCCCTGCCACCCTGGGGTGTGGATTATAGCGTAGGAGAGAACCTGGGGGATCCAAGAGGGTGCGCGGTCGGAACTCCAAAGAATCAGAATATGGACGCTTGATGGGATTGCCCAAAGCGAGACTTTGGGGGCGGGTGGAGATAGAGTATAAGGCTTCTTTCACCCCCACCCTTTTCCACCGCTTCTCCCACCCTCTCTGCCTCTTCTATCATCCTTCCCTTTTATCTGTGCTTGGCTTTCTTCTCCGCTTCAGCATCAGTTGGTGGCTCCTGAGCTGAGCATTGTAGTCTCTAGGCACTGAGGCATCAGCCGACTGAGGCGGAGTTTTGCTGTCAGCACCGCCTGCGTTGGGTGCTTGAGTCGGGAAGAGATATGGTTTTCTTTCACTCGAGGTCCTGGTTTTTCTGATGAAATCGGTGTCTTCGCCCCTCAATCCCCACTCCTTACCTTTAGCTGACCTAGTGCTGGGCACCGGAGAGCACGAGAGGCGGTTAGTCAATTGCGCGCAGGGCGCAACCTCAACCCCAGGAGCACGACCTAACTAGAGGAGAAGGGTGTTGCTCTTGAGGGTTGTTCCCCGACACCAAGTACTGGGCAAAAGGCTACTTTGGTCGGACCTCCCTGTATTGGTCTGCTTTGGCGTAGGGAGCGGGGAGGGGATGTCGGCATTACTTCGGTGTTCTGAATGGGAAGTCGTGCCTGACATACACACGTTATTTATAGAACTCCATATAAAACTATGCATATACACCTAGAGAAAAGCAGAGCGGTGTGGAATAGAGAAGAGTACTATAGTTGGAATCATGATTGTGGCACTTATTAGTTGTGTGACCACGAGCAAGTCAAGTCACCTAGCCAGGGCTCAGTTGTCTCATCTTTAACACGGCATAATAATACTCAAGTTACCAGTTCAGTGTTGTTGTCAGAAAGCTCTTTATAAATCTTAACGTGATACAGACGTGTGTCAGGAACTTAGGATCAAGGAGCTACTACTCCGACTCCCTCATTTTACATATAAGGAAACGGGGGGGGGGGGAGACAGATATTGAGAGAGACCGATTTTCAGGAGAAACTAAGAAATTATAGTGCTTATAACACTGATTTTTTTGGGAGTTTAGTCCATACTAATGTCTGATCACTCTCCCAGCTCTGCCTCCCAGAAAAAGCTGCCAGGCTGGGAGTCCCGTCCAGAAGGTACAGACAGCTTTCCACGAACTCAGTTGTGCGTGTGTGTGTGTGTTTCTGTGTATATGCGCGCACTCATTCGCCTTCTAGACTTTTAAGGATGCCCTTCCCCTCTTCCCCTCCCGACGCCTAGAGGGAATGTGGCTCCCTCCAAGCTGAGCGCTCTTGGCTCCTGAAATCCCTTTTCAGAGCGTGGCTCCCTCTCTGGAAAAGTGGGATTGGGTTCTGGAAAAGTGCAGCTCCGGGTCAGAAGCCCCAGATCCGCGCTGAAGCTCTGAAACGAGCGATGCTTCCCCCGCAAGGTGAACAGATTTTATCTGAGCCCTAACAGGGGAGTGGAAGGGGGAGTGAATAAACAAATTGGGTCATTTGGGCCATTCCCCCCACCACATCCTTCCGTAGCTTTCCCTTGCCCCTCGCCCTTTTATTATCCTCTCACTCCCACCCAGTAACTTTCTTCCCTCCGTTTTCCCCCCTTTCTTTTAGTGAATTAGAAGCCCCGAAAAGGTGAACGATTTCTTTCCTGATTCACTGCTTGGTTAACGCACCTCCCTTCCCATCTTTATGCTGATTGAAATGAGTGGACTGAGGCGTCCTGTTCTTCTGGGGCTGGCGCTGTTACTATTGACAGTGGGACCTTGCCAAGGGAGGACTGAACCCCGAGAACTCAAGGACAGGCAAACTCTCTTAAACTTAATCATGGAGATCATCCAGGAACTTAAAAAATACCATTCGGGGGAGGACAACAGATTGCAATTTTTCAGCAAACATGACTATACTTTGGGCAGGAGAGAAGTCACTGACTATGGAGTTTACCCTGATGAACAAAGAGTTGGTAAGTCAGCCTCTCCATTTATAGTAACTACATATATATCCCCCCCAACAAGTTTTCTCCTTTAAAAAAAAAAGTATTGAGCTTTGTATAGCAGAATATAGCACAAGAATTACTATACTTTAAAATTTCAATTTTAGTAACTTTATCAACTGTTTTTTATTTTTAAATTCCTAAGTGGTCAAGCAGACTCAATCTCTACCACTAACCACCACCACCACCACCCCACCCCACCCCCACCCCCAGCTCCCAATCTCTATTTCTTTAGTTGGTTGGAAGCTTTGCTGTTGAATTGGAAAGTTCCGCAGCATTTGACTTCTTTCTTTTCTTTTTCTTCCTTTTTTTTTTTAAAGACATCTCTTCTGTTTATTCTACCAGACAAAAACAGCACCCTTTGAGATAGCAACTTTTAAAAATGAGATTAGTAGGCAACAGTTACAGGGAGTGATAATTTCCTCACTTCCAAGACATGCAAGTTATCAGCACCATTAATTTCTGGACTGAATTGTGACTTGTCCCTTTAGTTAGAATGGAAATCTTTCTAGAAAAGCAGCTGCCACTGAGAAGAAAATATAGAGTTCTCTTTGTGGCAATCTCCAAGGAGCCCATTCCTTGGGAGAACCTCTGAAGAAAGCATGCAAGCTTTTAATGTTCTTTATGACACAATTAGGTCAGATATGATAAGGTCAATTTTAGACTGACTAAAGTTAGGAATAAATGAAGACTGACACCAGAGAGATTTCTAAACCTCAAAAGCCAGTAAGATTCAGATGGAAATGTTGTCTCCTTGAATGAAATGAGGTGGGAACTGAACAGCATTTGTGACAGAAAAAATAAAGTGTAACAAATCACACGCAATCATCACTAAGTCACCAGTCTAGAGCCAAGAAAATGAAAATGATTCAAGGTGACTAAATAAATAGGGGACAAACAAAGCCTAAGAAAAAGGCTGGATATCAATGAAGTAGTTTCTCTTTTACCATCTGCTAAAGACCAAGTACAGGCAAATCAAATGGACATGAGAAGAGGAAGGAGAAATGTAACTGGCAGTTTTGTTTCCTGCGAATTTTATCTTCTGAACCAAATTACACTTTCGTTTGCTCATTTCAGACAGACAACAGGTATCTGTGCACATTCCAGTCTTTTACTAAATGGACTGTTCAAAGATTATAAGAATGGCAACTAGGTGGTTAAGTGTACAGAATAGTGAATCTGGACTCAGTAAGACCCAAGTTCAAATCTAGCCTCAGACACTTACTAGCTGTGTGACCCTGGGGAAATCATTTAACTGTTGTCCGCCTCAGTTTCCTCATCTGTAAAATGAGGATAATAACAGCATCTAACTCCCAGGATTGTTGAGAGGATAAAATGAAAATATTTACAAAGTGCTTTGCAAACCTTAAAGCACTATGTATTATTACTACTGCTATTAGTGTTATTCTCAGGCTTTGTGCTCTAATTATTATAAATATTAGTTATTATTACCTTAGAGCCATAGATAAGAGTTCAAAAGGGACCTTAGAGGCCACTGAGTACAATCTCTTCATTTTGCAGATGAGGAAATTGGGGCATAGAAAGATCAACTGACTTGTGGTCACCAGCTAGTACATGTCTGAGGGAGGATTTGAATCTAAGTCATCCTGACCACAAGTTTGGTGGTCTATCTACTACAGCATGCTCCCTTGTGAGGGTATTTCACAGAAGAGACAAAGTTTAGTTTCCAGTTTTTAGTTTGAGAGGCAAGTGTCCATCCCAGGATTTTCAGAAGTGTGGATCTAACTGCCTAAAAAGTAGAGCTAGTTAATCTGATTTATAGGAGACCAAACATTGGCAACAAACTTGTATGCTGTGGCTTCATGGCATCCATCTTTCTCTTAAGTGTTTTAGGACCACACAAATACATGGGTGCTTAATGCTGCTTAAAAAGAAATCTGTGAACTGGACTGATCATCCTGTTGTTTAACATCTTGCATACATTAAGGGAGGCTAAAGTCTTTCTCATCACTTATACATTAGAAAGGCTGATGTAGATATTTAAGTCTGCCCACATTTAAGAAATCTTAGCAACCTAAACCTGAAAGAAATGCTACTCTCAGATAATATGCTAATCCTTTTCATTTTCGCAAACAGAAATTGTTCCCCGAGATTTGAGGATGAAAGACAAGTTTTTAAAACATCTAACAGGTAAGTTTTACTTGAATTTCTTCTACCCATTGACTGGTACTCTTATGCCCTGATGAACTGTCATGGATGATTTTCTCTTTCTCTGTTCCAGGTCCTCTATATTTTAGCCCCAAATGCAGCAAACACTTTCACAGGCTTTATCACAACACCAGAGACTGCACCATTCCAGCATGTAAGTGCCAATGCCTTATGCTGTTTAAATAGAGAAGTATATACTACAGAAAGACTGATTCTAGGAAATGGAGTGCATGGCCTTTGACTGAAATGGGCCTTTCTGTATTTCTTCATGTTTACTGAGAAATGTTGCTTTGCCATGACAGAATTGGACATGTTAGGATCTGATATGCTTAAAAAAGAATCACAGTAATAAAGGTAGTTAAGTGTTAGAGCAAGTAGTAGTTTATGTAGGAACCATTGACATTTGGAAGAATTTATGAGCAGCACTTAGGAATGGGATGAATCTTTGATTCATTCTCCATTTGTTTATGAATCCTGGCCTCTTGCCTATATTTGTATCTGCTCGAATACGAAAACCAAACAAACGTGAAGAATGAATTACTGAAGTGGCTGCTGCCAAGTGCTGGACTCTGGGGTGTAAATACCAGAGTAACTGAACTGAGCCATTCCGTTTGAACCGCAGTGGCCACCCCCACTGCCTTGTCCAGAACCTTCTCCCAGGGTTAGTCATACTCCCCCCCCCCACCTCCTCCCCACCTCCCCCCAGCCTCCTAGTACCTTTATGCTTTCTGGAATTTTTGGTTTCCTGCTGGCCTTCAGCCCTAGGTCACTCTCCTCATTGGTCCAACTTTGAACTCCATCTCTATCCTATTGGTTCCTTCCTGTTGCCTAAGTGCACAAACTCTTCCATCCCATGAAATTTCTCCTGGGATTTCTCTCCACATTCCCTACCTTACCCTCACCCCTATTTACATGCCCTATGTTTTAGCCAATCACTTCCTTTATCTTGACTCAAAATGTCTTATTAGGGTTATTAGTAGGCATAGTCAATGGTGAATAAAACCTGCTAAAAAGTGAAGAACAGGAGGAAAAACATTGGTTCTGGAGTAAAGGGCTTGAGTTTCAATCCCACCTATGATTGCTTTAACTACCTATGTAACCCTGGACAAGTTACTTAAGCTCTCTCTAACCACCTCATATGCAAAGGGAGTGGGGGTAGGGGGTGAAGAAGGGAGGCAGGGAGAGGTTAGACTTCTGAGAGCTATTCCAGTTTTAGATATATATCTATGATACTATGAAGGAAGTAAAAAAAAAAATTTAAGGTATAGGGAATTTAAAAACCATGGATACAGACACTAGAGTAGAAAACACCTTTCAAACTATTTTCAGAGAAAATCCAAAGGTGGTCAGATGGTCTGTTCAGCTGAGCAGACTACTGCCCTGGAGGTAACCTTAGCAACATTTCTGCCAAAGCAGCCAGCTCATGGGAAGTGAAAGCATTTATTTTGCACAGCATACATAACCCCTATAAAGCAATTCAGGATGCATGTCCAAATGGCCAAAATAAGCTATACTATAGGAATACTTCCTGTATCCATGCACAATTTTTCTTTCTTCGAATTGGCACCTTTTGTTTTGGTTGACCACCCCACTCTTGTTATTAGTATCAAAGTAATAGTAACAGCAGTAGTAATAATAACAATATCAAACATTTACACAGTGCTTACTATGTGCCAAGCACTTTACAATGGTTATCTCATATGATTCTCACAACAAGCCTAGGAAGTAGGTGCTATTATTACCCCCATTTTATATATGTAAGATGAGGCAAAGAGGGAATGACTTGCCTAGAGTCACACAGCTAGTAAGTAGATGTGGCCAGATTTGACCTCGAGTCTTCCTAACTCTAGGCCCCGGCTCTAGCCATTGTACCACCTACTTCTAAAGTCCTGTGAAGTCATGGATAGAAAGTCAGTTTTGTAGTGAGGAAAATCTAAGCTCAAGACCTGCCTCTTGATTTACACATCCTAGCTGTGTGAACTTAAGCAAATCATTTTGCCTCAGCACTCCCAGGCAAGTCTTTAAGGCCATATATCAGAGAGAAGGGGCTAATATGCATCAGTAGGGTGTATTTCCTACCCCTAATGAAATCAAAGTTCTAGAACACAAACCCAAAAACAAGAACAAAACTACATTGCGTGGAAAGTGTCTTGCAATCATTGGTTCATAAAATGGCCCTGCTAGGACACAACTTAAAGAGATCATGGATTCAACCACCTTATTTCACACAGAGGAAAATGAGACCCAGAGAAGTAACTGATTTACTCAAGATCCCAGAGTTAGTAGGGTCAAAACTAGGACAAGAACCTGGGTCTACTGACTTCCAATCCAACAGGCTATCCCCAAAACCATGCTGTTTCCCATTTTGCCAGCAATCCAGTTATCAGGATGCAAAAATCTTTGACAAAAGGCACAGTATGGTAGTGATTAGGCTGGAATAGAATTTAGCTGATATGAAATACAACATTAGCTGATCTGCAGAGGGAGGCACACTACTATTAACTTGTGATCCTGTCTCCCCTTCCTTACTTCTTGGAACCATTTTAACTATAGGCTGATCTTTAGGGTTCAAGACTTTTTTTTTTAAAAAGGCAAAGTGGGGTGCTAAATTCTACCACATGTTATATCACCAGAATTTGCAGCCCCAAATTTTCATGCAATTATTTAGCTGAGTCATGTCACACCACCCATGTACAGCGATTATTCATCATATAACAAAGTCTCCCATTATATATGCAGTGACTATGATCCATTAAAACCTTATTAAGTAAGCAAGGTCCTCTTGATGATCTGAATTACATGAAATGATTGGTTTTCTCAATGTATGAACATCAGTTCATAGCTGGCTGGCACACAGCCTTTTGACCAACCCTCCTGTCTATTACACATAATGGAAGTGAGAAGGTAAGGAAAGATCAGCTTCCTCCAATTTCACTGTAAAATCTCAGACCCCATGTTCTTAAACACACATAGTGCCCCACAAGTCTCAGTGATAAGCTTTAGCCTGTATAGCTTCTTTATACAGCATTTACCAGTCATTCTTCCATAATTATTATTTTATTAGGTCTTCATAACATGCCTCTAAGTTAGTAATAATATCACACATTTCTAGTGTTTTGAAGATTACACAATAATTACTCACAACCCAGTGAGGTAGGCAGTAAAAGTATTATTCTCACTACAAATGGGGAAACTGAGCCTGAGAGAACTGACTTACCCAAGGTTACATAGGTAAGTGGTAGAGACAGGACTAAAAACTACATCTTTGGCTGGCCTGAATAGTTAGAAGTACACTTAAGTTTCACCATCAATCAATCAACACACTTTCATTTTTATTTTATTAAACACCTATATATCAAGCATTCTGCTAGATGCTGGGGATACAAATCAAAAGTGAGATAGTTCCTACCCTCATGGAGATCACATTATAAGGGATACATGTTCCCAGTTAAATACAGGACATATGTATCTCCACATATATGCATGTTATATACATATGTATGTTATAAAAACACAAATGCTACAGGAGAAATTGTGTAACCATCAAAAATTAGAGCTAAAAGAGACCTTAGAGATCATTTATTCCAGCCTCAGCCCCATCATTTTACAGGCATAAAACCTTGAGAGCAGGGAGGTAAAGGGCCTTTTCCAAGGCCAAACAGAAAGTTAGTGGCCAAGCTAAGACCAAAATTTGGGTCTCCTGATGACCATTTTTGTATTCTTTCTACTACAACTCTTCCTGATAGTCACAACTCACTCACCTAAGGGAACTGTCTGATGGCATGTCTATCTATATCCTAGTTCTTCTTGGAGGCAAGCTGGGTCTAAAAGCTCTGTTAAAATTGCCAGATAGACAAAAGATTAGGCTACTAGGAGTGCCACTCAAAGAAATGCTGAGTATCTCATCTCTCCTCTGGGCCACTGTGATAGGGAAAATAGAGCTGATCCAATATCACTGTAGCATATGACATTTCCAAAGACAATTCAAATTTAAAATGCAAGATAAAGATAAAGATTTGTGGGGAATATGTGAGCCTGGAGGATAGTGGAAAGAAGGCTTAAGTAGGAATCCTCATTCTGACATTTATGAGTTGTATGATACTGGGCAAGTCACTTAACCTCTCAATTGGTTTCTAATTTGTAACCTTATCATTATTATGTAATCCTTATCATTATCCACTAAACCACACTACCTCTATAAGGACCAT